CAGAGACCCAAACAGGCCAGACCGCGCCTGGTCTGCAGCCGGTCAGAACCACACCCACCGTGCAGGAGCCCTCGTCCCAAGGACGGCGACATCACCTGTCCCCCAGCTCCTCTGACTTCTCCTTCGTGGGCCGTGGACCAGGCTTGATGTCTTCCTAGGCCCTAGGGGACTCACGTGACAGCGCACCTGCCCCCCCCCCACTGGCGCACAGGGGCTGTGGCGGTGACACCCGCTCTTTAGTCCTGCACCTGCCGGGGTAGCCAAGGCGCCCCCAGGGCCCGGAGCTTGGGGTTCCAGGGAAGCTGCCCTGACTCCAGGGACACACAGGGAGGTGTCCAGATGTTGACCCACTGGCCCCAGGGACAGGCTGGGGAAAGGCGCTGGAGGGAGCCATGAGGCAGGCACCAAGGGGACCACCAGGGACTGGGCCTCCCTCAGGCCTCCCCTCTGCCCCCAGACTCCACCATGGAGACAGTGTCCGCCGGAGCACACTGCCCTTGGAGAGGACAGGGGTGCAGGCAGATAGGCACCGCGCCTCCCTCCACGTGTGCCCCTCTGCAGGCCCTGCGGATCTGGGCAGCACTGGGAGAACACTGGCCTTGGAGTGACCAGCAGGGACACTGGGCAGAGTGGACGCTGCCTGGCTGTGCCGCTCCCTGCTGGACTTGCAGAGCTGCTCACGTTCTGGGCAGCCCTGCTCCTGACGCAAGATGGCTCGGCGGGGTGCGTTGCTGTGACACCAGCACCCACACCGGCTCCAGTCCCGGCCCGGCTGCTCCACTTCCGACCCAGCTCCCTGCCCATGCATCTGGTGAAGGAGCAGATGACGGCCAAGTCCCTGGGCCCCTGCCGCCCTGTGCGAGACCCAGGTGGAGCTCCTGGCTCTTGGCTTCAGCTGGGCCAGTCCTGACCACTTGAGGAGTGAATCAGATGCAAGGTCTCTCTCTCTCTCCCCATGATTCCACCTTCCAAATAAAAAATCTTCAAACAAAATGGCGGGGCTGGCGCTATGGTGTAGCGGGTAAAGCTGCCGCCTGCCATGCCGGCATCCCATATGGGTGCTGGTTGGAGTCCCGGCTGCTCCACTTCCGATCCAGCTCTCTGCTGTGGCCTGGGAAAGCAGTGGAAGATGGCCCAGGTCCTTGGGCCCCTGCACCCACGTGGGAGACCCTGGGGAAGCTCCTGGCTACGGATCAGTGCAGCTCCGGCCATTGCAACCGATTATGGAGTGAACCAGCGGACGGAAGACCTCCCTCTCTCCCTCTCCCTCTCCCTCCTCTCTCTCTCTCACTGTCCACTCTGCCTGTCAAAAAAAAAAAAAAAAAAAAAAAAAAAAAAAAAACAGCAGAGAAGCCAACCAAGGCCCAGCCCAACGCCTAGGATGAGGAGACGTCTCCCCCTCCCCATCTCTCCAGGCTCCCGGTGGGGGGGTCTCTGCCCACAGGGAGAAACACTCCCAGCAGTGAGGGCTGAAAAGCTATTCACTGACCACTCTTCCCTGGGGGTGGGGCTCGGTGTTCCCGAGCCATCTGTCCCTCTGGTTTCACACACGGCCGATCCGAACCCAACCCACCGCTCCCTGGATCTGTGTGTGCTCAAGACAGCAAGTGCCCGGCCCGAGGAGAGCCCCGGCACCGCCTCCTCCGTCGGGCCCACCCCCGGGCCATCCTGCACCCGACCCCCTTGTACCTTGGAGCAAAGGTCACTGGGCAAGGCCGGCCCTGTGTGACCACTCCCCGCCTTGCCGGCCTCGTCCCCTCCAGCAGCCCCAGCCCGGCCCTTCCATCTCCTCTGAGCGCCACAGCTGCCCCCGCGCTGCCCCCCAGCAGCTGGACAGACGACACAGTCAAGGGAACAACAGAGAAGTCAACGCCACCAGCAAGAACACATTCACCCTGCAACTACCGTGCGGCAAGGAGGCACCGGGGCCCCCCCCACGGTGGGCGCCCGGGGTCCCCCGCGCTGCGCCCAGCTCAGGTGCCAGTCACGGTCCCACTCCAGCCCTAGTGGCCGGGAACCCCTCACTGGGCACCATGGACCCCAACCTGCAGAGATCAGGGACGCCACCCCCACCATGGTCCCTGGCACCGTCACAGCCCCGTGGTTCTCGCCAAGGCACCACCTTCGCTGCCCCTACCCAGCGGTCGCTCGGTTACCACAGGCTACACCTGCCCGGCTCAGACCGGCTCTCCCCGCCGTCCACTCAGGGCCCCTGCACCTGCTCCACGCAGGCCATGCTCAGACCACTCAGAACCCCCTCAGCTGCCAGGCTTCCTGCTCTGTGCCGTGGGGGTCCTTCTCCAGACCTCCTCTGCACTCTACACCCGCTGCCGGGGGACAGCTGTGCGCCCCAAATTGGCAAGGTGTCCATGTCTTAAAGTCCAAGAGGGTCCCCGGCAGGGGGCACCAGGTATGGATGACGTCACACTGGATGACGCTGGCGCTAAGTCTGAGGCCGGGTGTTGTCACAGGAAGCGGGGACACGGACACAGAGGACGCCGAGGAAGAGGTAGCCACAGCCGGCAGCCACGCCTCCCCCTCCCAGGCCTCCCGAAGGCGCCGGCACCGCGTCTGTGGTCACTTGCTGGTGCTCGCCGGGTGCTGATGTGTCAGCTCACCCCACGCTCCCGGGGACAGGACCAGGGCTGCAGAAGTCCCAGTGCCAGGCCGGGGTCAGCCACTCGGGGCCCAGGCAAAGCCTCACAGCACGTGACGGCCAGGCCGGGGGGTGGGGGGGCAGGGGGCGGGGCTTCACAGCTGCACAGACTTGGCCTGCAGACCCCTGCCCGGACACGCTCAGAGGACAGCTTGTGCGCACCCCCCCTCCAGGCAGGCTTCTGAGGGGTCCCCGGCTTTCCTCGGTGCCTGCCATACAAGCTTCTGGCGGCCGCGGTGGCCACATCCTAGGCGCTCAGTCACAGGCCCCTGGGGTACACACGCACCGTCGAGACGCCAGGCTGCCCCGCGGCTCGCGGGCACGGACAGCCCGACGTGGAGGCCTGCTTCCCAGGGCCGGTGCCCGTCCGCCCTCCCTCCGCTCCGAGGTCTGCGGCCAGCAATGCTCACTCCCTGCCAACGCGGGGTCTGGGCAGCTTCACTGGGAGGTGGGTGCAAAGCACAGAGGATCAGGCGCACGCTGAAGCCAACGGCGGCTGTGGGAGCAGGGACCGCTAGCTCCAAAGGAGCAGGGCGTGGGGCCGGCGCTGTGGCACAGCGGGTAAAGCCGCCGCCTGCAGTGCCGGCATCCCACATGGGCGCAGGTTTGAATCCCAGCTGCTCCACTTCTGATCCAGCTCTCTGCTGCGGCCTGGAAAAGCAGTGGAAGATGGCCCAAGTGTTGGGCCCCTGCACCCGCGTGGGAGACCCGGAGGAAGCTCCTGGCTTTGGATCAGCCCAGCTGTGGCCACCTGGGGAGTGAGCCAGTGGATGGAAGACTCTCTCTCTCTCTCTGCCTCTCTGTAAGTCTGCCTTTAAAATAAATACATAAGTAAATAAATGAATGAATCCTTTAAAAAAAAAAAAAGCCAGGGCATCAGGACACCCCCAGAAATGCCCACACGTGCCCCCGGGGCTCGTGCCTGACGCTCTGCCGAGCCAAAGGCCGCGCGATGCGGCGCTGCAGCCACAGCCGTGCCGCAGCCACCGTCCACGGCACGCAGCTTTCCTGTGCTTCCGCCTCCTCAGCTACACGGGGGACGCTAATTCCACGGAGGACGCAGAGAAGACGGGCAAAGCCCGGGCCAGGCGTCGTGGCTCAGCAGGCTGGTTGCTGTCAGCTGTGTGCTGCTGGCACACGGTGGAGGGGCCGTGAAGGGTGGCCCCGGGGCTTGGAGGCCTGGACGGAGCTGCAGGCTCCCGGTGCCCACCTGGCCCAGCCCTGGCTGTCGCAGGCTCGCCGGATGGAGAATCTCCCCCGCCCGGCGGCGGGTGCTCTGGTGCCGCGGGTTAAGCCCCGGCCTGCAGTGCCGGGTCCCACAGGAGCGCCAGTGCCAGTCCTGGCTGCTGCACTTCTGATCTAACTCTGCTGGGACAGCAACGGAACAACGCCCACGTCCTTGGGCCCTGCACCCGGGGAGCCGACTCAGATAAAGCCCCAGGCTCCCGGCTTTGGAGGACGGCGCAGCTCCGGCCGTTTCGGCCATCTGGGGACTGAACCAGCGGACGGAAGACCTCTCCCTACCTCTCCAACTCTGTGTGTCAAATAAATCTCAAAGAGAAAGCGCACATTAAAAGATTCGCAAGGCTCTCAAACAGCACCTGCGACTCCACACCCTCGGAGGCTCCCGTCCGTCACCATCCCCGGCTCGGCGCTGCCCAAGGCCCCCCACTCGTGACAATCCCGTGGCGACAAGATCGGTCTCCATCTTGGTGACAGCCCGAGGACCACGTCCCCAGAGGCGGGCGCACCCCTCCCGGCGAACCCACAGAGTCCAGCAGAGGAACCCACGCAGCCGCGCGAGGCGCCGGGCGCGTGCAGAGGGGCGCGGCGAACGCCAGCTTCCTTCCTTATCTGTCGGGCGGGGAAGCCGAGAACGGAACGTGCCCGCTCCCCCGCACCCGCGCGGCCCGACTCACGCCGAGGCGCGGGGCTGCACAGCACAGCCGGGTTCCCGGGCGCGGGGCACCCGCGTGCGCTGCGGGGCGCCCAAGCCCGCGCCGCGTCCTTTGTGCCCTGGGGGCTCGCGCCTCGCCGAGGGGCGTCCCCGAGGCCGGCCCGCACTCCCTCGCGCGTGGCCAGCGGCGCTCGGGACCCGGACCCCCGACACGGGCGCCGCCGCCGCCCTCTCCTCCCAGGCGGCCGACGCCACGCGCCCTCGCCCGCGCCCGCGGGTCTCCGCGCGCCTCCGGCAGAGTGGGCGTGGGCCCCCCGGGGAGCGCCGCTGCGGACGGCGGGCGCGGGGCCGCCCGGCTGCGCCCCGGCTTTGTTCGCGCCCCGCGCCCGCCGGCTGCCCGCGCCCCAGCCCGCGCGTGCCCGCGCCTCGCGCCCCGGCCCCACGCACCTTCTGAATGGTCTGCTGCGTGACCTCCCCTTTGCCCCTCGGCCGGGCGGACGCGAAGGCCACGGACATTGCGGCGACGCGGGGCTCAGCCCGTGACCATCAGGGCTTATTCCCCGGCTGCGCTCGGCCGCCCGAAGAGCTCATTCTCCGCAGTCGCCGGGGGGCGGGAGGCGCGGGGGACGCCGCGCCGTGGGCTCGCCCGCCCCGCCGCCCCGCGCGCGCCGCCGCGCCCGCCGCGCCGCCTCCCGCCGCCGCCGCCCCCTCCGAGGCCGCGCCTCGCGTGGCGCCCCCCGGCGGCCGGCCGGCGCCCCGCGCCCGCTCCGCCGCGCCCCGCGCCGCCCCCCCGCCCCGCCGCCCGTGGTTAGGCCCGGCCCCGCCCCGCCCCGCCGCGCGCCCGCACGTCCGCCCGACGCCGTGACGTCACCGACGCGCAGCGTGGGCGCGGCGCAGGGCGCGCGCGCCGGCCGTGAGTGTGCGCTTTTGAGAGCGGCGGAGAGGGTGGCCCTGGGCCCGCGCCGCGGCCGCCGGCATGAGCTACGACCGCGCCATCACCGTCTTCTCGCCCGACGGCCACCTGTTCCAAGTGGAGTACGCGCAGGAGGCCGTTAAGAAGGGCTCGACCGCGGTGAGCCGCCGCGCCGGGGCCTGCGCGCGCTGGGGGCCCGGGCCAGGGGCGCCGCCGGGGGCCCGGGCGCGGCGGCGGGCGGCGGGCCTGGGCTCGGCCGGGGGCGCGGGCTGCGGACCGCTGCTCCCGGGGCGGCGGCGCGGCGTCCCTTCGGCCGTGCGTGTGGCCAGCGGGCCGCTGGGAACCCGCGGGGCGCCGGCTCCGTGGCGCAGAGAAGGGAGCCGCAGCCCGGGCGGGGCCGATGGCGGCGCTGGGGCGCGCATGGCGTCGGAGGCCGCGGGTGAGGGGCCAGGCCAGCAGCCCGGGGAGCCGAGCTGGGCGCGCGGGCGGCGCGCTCCGGGGTGCCTCTGGGTGCGTGCTTTCCGGTACGGGAGCGGGCCGTGCCCTGCACCTGCCGGCGGCGGGCCAGCCGGACGCACGGGGACTGTCCTGGCGGCTCCCGGAGTGATGCCAGGCCACTGCCTGCCCAGGTGGGCACGTTGAGCTCGGGGCTCAGGCGCCTGTCTCGTTCCCACCAGCAGCACCTGGGCGCACCTCGGGAGCGCGCGCGCATGTGGAGGAGGGGTGGTGTTTCTCACAGGAGGCTGGGGGGCCCCGGGCCAGGCCCCCGGGGGTGCGGTGCCTGGGCAGCGTCTGCCCCCTCGCAGACAGCGCCGTGGCGCGCGACGGTTTTGTCCCTTAGAATCCTAGACGTTCAGGGCCACGACGCGGATTCTGAGGTCGCCACTTCCTGGCTCGTGTGACCGCCTGCAATTAGGGTCCCAAGTCCAACTCTGACCTCCTCCCCACCCACGCTCGCTCGGGCGGACGCACAGCTGCGGCTCCCGGAGCGTCTGGCCGAGTCGGCACCCGGGACCTCCCTGGAAACCGGGCCAGTGCCCCTCGGCCCGCGGGCACTGGCGTGTGGAGCGAGACTGCTGCTGGCTCCCGTGGGCGGGGGCGGCTGCCCAGGTCGGCACTGGCCGGCGGGGCTGAGAGGCCCTGTGCTGGAGGGCGGGCACGCGCGGCGCCCACCGATTGCTGCGGTTGGTTTCTAGGCTGTTGGATTGACGTGTGAGATGGCCGATTCCTGAGGTTCCGGTGTGTGTGAGAGGCAGAGCCCCCACCCGCCGGCTGACTCCCCAGAGGCCCCTGACCGCCACCAGCCAGGAGCTTAGTCCGGGTCTCCCAGGAGGCGGGTGGGAGCTGCGCCCCGACTCTGATGGGGGCTCGGCGTCCCATGCCGAAGCGGCTCCCACGCCTGGTTAGGAGACGGGGAGGCCTTCATACTGCTCACGCCCCTTGGGCCCGCGACAGTGGGTGCCAGTCTAGGCCGGAGCCGGGACCCTGCGTGGGTCCATGGTCTGCAGCCTTGCCAGCCCAGCCCTCTGAGCAGGGGTGGGGAACCTGTCTCTGCCGGGCCGTTTGCGGTCGTACGGAATTGTCCACTTCATAATTAGCCTGCCGTGATTTATCGGATTTTGAATCCCACCCGTGGTTGCCTTGGCGGGGCCAGACCGTGCAGTGTCGGGCGGTGTCCGGCGACGGCTGACAGCAGGCGGCCCCTCCCTCGTGCCGGGAGGTGGCTTCACAGCTCGCCTGCGGCCGGCGCCCCTGTTCAGACTCCGGCCCACACGGCAGGTCCCTACCCGCAGTGCCGGGCCCGGCTGTCGGGCTGTGAGCTGTGGGCTGCGCGGGTGAGCACAGCTCCGCGTGGCGGCTGCCGGCCACGCCCCAGGACCGTGTTGCCGTGTGCTCCTGGCGCCCCGCCTCCGCAGTTTCTCATGCGGGCCGTGGTTTTCATTGGAGGTTGGCGTCCGGGGGAGAGACATCGTCGTCCTTGGCGTGGAGAAGAAGTCGGTGGCCAAGCTGCAGGATGAAAGGACCGTGCGCAAGATCTGCGCGTTGGACGACAACGTCTGCATGGCGTTCGCAGGTGCGCGACCGGGGCCAGGGCCGCACTCAGGGTCCCGGTGGAACCTGGCTATGCAGAGGGACGCGGGGCCCCGGGCTGTTGCCAGACGTCAGTGGATTCGGACTTCAGGAGTTAACTTGGGGGTTTTTCTGTCCCCCAAACACGAGCCCCGCCTGACCTGTGGCATGCAGAGGGCAGACAGGGCTGCCCGTGGCCAGCAGCAGTACACCGGCCCCGTGACAGGGGCTAGGCTAGGGAGGCACGCACTCGGCCCCTGCGCTCCCCCAGGGCGCGGGGCGGCTCCCTGACCTGGTTCTCAGAAGAGCCCCGGAGGCTGCTGGTCCCGCTCTGGCCGCTCAGGGCGAGGGGGGGCCGTGCCCAGAGGTCAGGCTGCGGAGTAGCCAGGGTCAACGCCGTCCTTGCTCGGAGTCTCCCGCTCCTTTGCAGGCCTCACTGCGGACGCGCGCATCGTCATCAATCGGGCCCGGGTAGAGTGCCAGAGCCACCGGCTGACCGTGGAGGACCCGGTCACTGTGGAGTACATCACCCGCTACATTGCCAGTCTGAAGCAGGTGGGCGCCCGGGGTCAGCTGCGTCCTGCTGTCCACCGCTTCCCCTCGGCTCTCAGCGCGCGCTGGAGGGAGGAGCGAGGCCCGGCTCTGTCCTTAGCGGCGTTGCCAGGCGGGTGGGAGGGAGCCGAGAACCACTGTGGCGCGACGCCATTCGTCTTCCGAGCCAGCGTGTGGCCAGCTGGACGGCTGCCTGGCAGGAAGTTCCCAGGCGCTCAGTGCGTGCTGCGCCGCGGCCTGAGCCTGGGCGTGCAGGTGCAGAACGGGCCGGAGGCGTGGGGGGTCTCGGTGCCTGCAGAGCGCCCCTGGCTGGGGCTCGGCCCCTCGCCGAGGCTCGCGGGCGTCCTGCGCGGTCTCCCTGGTCAAGCCCCGACCTGTTTGTGCCGCTCCAGCGCTACACACAGAGCAACGGTCGCAGGCCATTCGGCATCTCCGCCCTTATCGTGGGCTTTGACTTCGATGGCACCCCCAGACTCTACCAGACTGACCCCTCGGGCACGTACCACGCCTGGAAGGTGAGTCCCGCAGGGTGCAGCGGCTTCGGCAGCGTCCACTCCTCACGTCAGCGTTTGAGGTCACCGCGTCCCAGATGTACACGCTGCCTTGACGGTGGCTGTGTGGGAGCCAGGGGGCCGTGAGCACCAGATTGTCCTGCAGGACCGTGAGGGTGCGGGTGCAGGGCGGCGTTAGGATCAGTTAAGAATCGGCAGAAGGAAGCTGCCCACGGGGCTCAGCTGGTCACTCGGCATGGCCGCCCACGGGGCTCAGCTGGCCACTCGGCATGGCCGCCCACGGGGCTCAGCTGGCCACTCAGCATGGCTGCCCACGGGGCTCCGCAGGTCACCTGGAGCGGCTGCCCCTTGCCACAGCTTGCTCAGAGCAAACAGCAGGCCCCCTGGGGACACGGGCAGCAGGCAGCTGGACCCCTGGGCCACCGCGGGTGCACATCCGTTTCAGGCCAATGCCATCGGCCGGGGCGCCAAGTCAGTGCGTGAGTTCCTGGAGAAGAACTACACCGATGACGCCATCGAGACCGACGACCTGGCCATCAAGCTGGTGATCAAGGCCCTCCTGGAAGTAAGTGCTCGGGGTCCGGGAAACACGGTGGACGCCGGCCGCGTGGGCGTGGGCAGGGCAGTGTCCCGGTCCCACGGAGCTCTGGGCATATCCTTGCTAAGCTTTGAGAGGCAGTGAGCGATCTTCATCCCCTGGGCCACTCCCTAAACGGCCGCAGTGGCTGGAGGGGAGCTGACCGGAAGCCAGGAACCAGGAGCCTTGTCCAGGTCTCCCACGTGGTGTGGGGCCCAAGGACGCGGGCATCCTCCACTCTCCCAGGCCCTCAGCAGGAAGCTGGATGGGAGCTGGAGCCCGTACGGGAGCCGGCACTGCAGGGGGAGGCCTAGCCCGCCGTGCCACAGCGCGGCCCCTGCTTTCTACGAGTGGCGCAGGTGGGATGTGACCCCACCCCTCGGCGGGGAGTGTGTTCTGCGCATGGCCCGAACTTGGCCTTCCAGGCCTGAGCTGCGAGGGAGGGAGCTAACCACACTGACAGCAGTGCCTGGCGGGGCGAGGGTCCAGCTCTGTCCGCACCTGCCTGGCGAGGCGGGGGTTGCTAAGTGGAGGGGCGGCGCCATGAGGGACTCACGGGCGCTGTCTGGGCCCTCTGTGGGGCGAGGGATCTCATGTCCTGTCGTCTCCCCTCAAGGTGGTTCAGTCTGGTGGCAAAAACATCGAACTCGCGGTCATGAGGCGGGATCAGCCCCTCAAGGTAATGCCAGCTGTGTCCTGCGGAGCTTCTCGGGGTCAGGGCTGGGCGCCGGCTCAGACAGGCTGCTGTGGGGCGGGCCTCGCACTGCGAGAGGGTCTGTCCCTGTCGTGTGTGGTCTCAGCACTGCGAGGGGGTCTGTCCCTGTCGTGTGTGGTCTCAGCACTGCGAGGGGGTCTGTCCCACCGTCCTCTGTCCTGTGTGGTCTCAGCACTGCGAGGGGGTCTGTCCCAGGGTCCCCTGGCCTGGGCATGCCCCTGGGCACACTACACACGTGGCAGGAACCCAGCCTCCCTCACCCAAGCGTTGGCCGTAACAAGCCCCTTTCCTTGCTAGATCTTAAACCCTGAAGAAATTGAGAAATA